AAGAGAAACTGCGCAGGGAGAGCGAGGCGAGGGAGAGGTGGAAGTATCTTTCTGCAGGTTAAGCGGGAGGAAATTGCATTGTTTTTTGGGACCTATTTTTTTTTGCAGGTCGAGAATCCCGGTGTTATTGCAGTGGGCTCTTATATCTCAAGTTTCCTTCACAATAACACACGATCGTAGCGGAAGAGTCAGTGCGATAGTCGATGTTCCACTGTATTTTGTAACCAGAACGAATCTAGTCGAAGATAGCCCACAAACGTGGATGACAGCCTCAACAGGCACATCTGTGCGAGTGTATCAAAAACACCAAGTGGTGTGATCCTGGGTGGCCCAAAAATTGTGCTATAAGTCCTTGGGTTACAGAGAGAAGAACCGGCTTCGCTGCCAGGAAGGGCATATCATCTCCCAACATTGTCTGCGTTCTCTCGCAAGAAAGCTGAGACCCACGTCGACATCTATTGCAATCCGATAGTTGAGCAGGGTACATACAATCAATGGGCTGATCTGCTCGGTATACATTGCACAGATAGAAATAGGTGATATTGGCCAGCAGGGAGCGCATACGTCTAGATATACGCTGCAACCGGCCTCGTAGGCGGCCAAATCTCAAAAATAGCACAGGCTGGAATGCATTCACGCCGAAGCAGATGCAAACTTCCGGACCTTGAAATTTGGTGAAGACGCGAGCTTGACAGGCATACCTTCATCTGCGCGCCGTTCCTGCTCGGTTTTGTTTGTGGCATCCTCTGCTATGTTATTGACGCCATTGACCTGGGTTGGATTCTGTCCTGACTGTCGAATGCCAGGACGTCTAGGAATGAAGACTCCCTTGGTGAAGTGCTTGGCCACATTAGGTTTGAACTTCTCTCGCGATGACGTCCCATATACTGCTCGACGATGCTGCGTAGCGATTTTCATTGTCTTCGGTAAGGCGGGGGAAACGCGAAATTCTGTTTCAACATCCTCACGTGCCAAGTTGAATACCTCGTAGAACTGTTCTGCCCATTTGACGACGGCATCGAGATCGGCATGACTTCTACGACGCTCTTTTCTGGCTTGTATCTCGGCCAAAGCCCCTCTCACAAGAATCTGTAAAGTGCGCATGTCGGGAACAACAATCGGGTCCAGATGCGGCTGCGTCGAATCAAAGTCTAAACTCATTGTCTCGATGGGAATGCCCGCGTCTTTGCTTTCCGCGTCGGAGGTGGTGCAAAACTGGTTGCCGGCAAAGTCAAGCTTATCTTGCGGCAACGTAGCATCTATGCCGAGTGAGGCAGGGTGGGCAAGAGAAATTTGGGCATTTGCATGTGGGACGGCTTTATCGGAGTTTTGAGGCGACTCCAGCAAGCTCATTTTTGAGCTGAAATGATCTCTGTCATGTCCGCCAACACCAACCAAGTCGTTGAGTGCATCATTTGCTTGTCTGTGGAGGAAATCGTCTTCGTTCTTGTCCGTAGCGCGGTCCTCGAATGCAGCGTCACAACCATTGTCTAGGACACGTGACGAGGCGGCACAATCTCTCAGGTCTTTGCAGAATAGATACCAGATGCTCTGCCCCTCCAGTACACCCTTGGTCTCGACAATTGCAGCGAACAGAACATTGAATGTGTCCTTCGCAAGGTCTGGTTTGTTACTGACGGGGAATTTCGGTTTGAATCGAGTGGCGGTGTCCGCTAATTTGCTGTCCATCACGTTTTCCAAGAGACGCAAGAGATATCCCACTTGCTGTCTGAAGGTCTTCTTTTGGTCGACCCTGAAGCTCGCTGGAGGAGAGTCATAAACACCATCGAGAATATTAGAGAACAGCAACATTGCCTGCGAAAGATCAGACTCAGTATCGTCTTGCGGCATAACCGCCGCGTCCACTTCTAAGCTCAAGATCTTGGCTGCGAGACTCGCGACGATTTTAGGACTGTATCCACCGCCTTCAGCGCGTCGTAGATCCAGGAGAAGCAGGATAGCTTTTGTCCACTCCCGCGCGTTAACGTGATAAACCACCAAAGCTCTGAGGACGTTTACAGTTGGTTTTCTGTCCGAGCGTCTGATTATGTTGTAGATATGTTTGACCAAAAGAGGGTCATTCTTAGCGGATGCGTAGCGAACTACTGCAGCGGTAACAGACGGTTTTGCCCAGGTGGAAGAAGGCAAGACCGCTCCATCAACATCTTCTGAGAATAGAAGCCAATCTCCTAGGCCAAGTAACTTCGCATTGCTCACCAGATCGAGGAATGGAGGTAACTTGTAGGTAGGAAGCTGTCCGTACGAATTGAGGAATTCACCCCGACCTTTGCCATATCTGGAAGTAAAGAAGCCACCTTCTGGATTGAGTGGAAGAGACAAAAACTCCCCGATAGCTTCGAGCTTGTTACCGTCGACTATCTTCTGAATTTCTGTGAATGTGTCGACAGCCTTTTTGACAAGATTCGCTTCGATGCAGGCTTGCAGAGCCTGGTGAAGAATCCCAACGTGCAGTTCCGAATAGTCTAGAATGGATTCGAAGGCAAGCTCTGGGTTTTGGCGATGCTTTTCCTCCACGGGATGCAGACTCCGAAGCTGCGACATAACAGACGCCCAATTTCGTAGAGAGTCGGCCTTGTCAAGGTTATACATACTTCCGGTCTCTAGAAGACGGACAGCCAGGTAATCGAAATATGCCGGTGCCAGACCATGTAGTCCCCCAAATGAGATCAGCTCCCTGATTTCATTTTGGATATTCATGATGGGCAGATCATCGTCTGTAACGTCCATATTGACTTTGTTAATCAGGCTGTCAGCGATGGCTAGAATGACTTCAGCACTTATGAATTTATGGGGATTGACTTCGGAAAGTTGTTCCCTGTGATAGGTTTCTGCTTCACTCTCCAGACGGCCTTGGCGAGTCCGCTGATCCCAGTCAATTGAGGGGACTCGATCGTCGGGCCAGTGAATAGCCTGCCAACCCCCTTCGACGTCTTTCTGCATTGACCGGACAATTCGGGCTCCGGTCGCGGCAAATCCACCCTCGACGCAGCACCAGAGGATGAATTCCAGCCACACTTCTGGTCCAAGCTCTGGCTTTCTAGGTCGCAAACGACTAGGCGGCGGCTCTCGGAAGATATTCCAGGGACTGCTCTCCGTTTTCCCAGAACGCGCAAAGACATCATCCTGGTAGGCATGCCAAACAGCGTCGGAGAGGGTTGACAAAATTCTCGAGTTCAGCAGATGAAGAATCGGCGAGTGTTGAATCATTGTTGTACCTTGTGGGAGGGAGTAAGTGTAGATATTCGCAGGCACGAGCCCCAAATTGTGAATGAGCGCCAAGATCTGGTGGACTGTATTCATGATCTGCTTCCCTTCATCCGAGGGTCGATTGGTAGACGCTAGAACGAGGTCGGCCAGGAGAGACCAGATGAGCTCCATGGTAATCTCGTGATTCTTTTCCGGTCGAGTGCAGTCGAAGGAATTGAGATAAGTACCAACAGGTCGTCGACTGACGTGTAAAGTACGATCGAGCTCAATTGGGGTGCCATTTCGCTTCGCAAACGATCCATCTGGCCAAGTTATGTTGGAAGGCAGCTCGTCTTCGAAGGGCGCATTAACTGCTAGGGCAACAGCCTTCAGCAAGATTTCAACAAGGTGAATGACAGCTTTGTATCGGCGTTGGTTGAGCGCCATAAAGCCCAAAATATCCACATTTCTCTGGTAACGAGTATCCGTAAGAATTCGAAGCACATCCCCAGCAACCACCTCTACTGGGATAACGGTTCGAGATCCAAGCTCATCGGACCAACTCAAGCTTCTCGGAAGAAAGGTATCCAGCTCGGCCACCCAATCCTCGGGGCCTTTCTGCGAAAATTCCGCTGCATGGATGTGATTTTTTCGTCCATCTTTTTTCTTACTTGCATCTTTGACCTCGGTGGAAGCGACACCCTGGAAAGGAGGGCTTGGGACATCCTTACGGAGGCGTCGGAGGGAGGAGTATGATAGTGACGTTTGAGTGGTGCGCACAAGTTGTATCCGAAACGAAAGCCTTGGGATGAAGAGCTTCTGACTCTGTCCAGCCCTGAAGAACGACAGAGGCGAAGCGACGGGATGGCTGCACAACTGACTTCTGGATGGAAGCTGCTCAAAGCATCTGCGCATGACCCGAAGAACGAACCGATGCGGAAGACATGTGAGAATGAACTACCGCCGGACACAGCAAGGGAAGGATTCGCTAGAGGTGGATGAAGCCATATGCGAGCAATGTGAAAAGAGTGCTAGACAGTTTGCAGGAGCCGAGTAAGATGTTCGATGATGTCGACACTTTTTTCAAGTCGCGCGATTGACCTGCCAGATTGAGTTTTCGATTTGCATGCCAATTGACCATTAGAGGAGAAAATGGCCTGGTCTGACGACGCATCATTTAATGCATGACCTCCAAGACCAGGCATGACCCACCTTGATACTCGGGGCACTTTTCGTCAGACGCGCTACTCCTTTAACCCCTTTAGCTGTCCGTTCAACCTCAGCTTTCACTCTCCTCCACTCACAGCAAGTGACTAGCTACAATTGCGAAGCATTCCAACTCCAATAATGCCCAAGGCGAAAAGCCACGATAGACCAATTGGCTTGACATTCGTTCACACATCCCACCCAGATGAGTCTAAGCAAAGAAGCACCCAAAGAATCATTCGACGCCATGTCATGGCTCGCGCTGCGGAAACACGGAAAAAGGGTCCCAAATCCTGGAGTTTGGCAGTGAGGCTTCCTCGAGTGGAAGTCGATGTTGCTGCTGTTGAAGAAAACGTAGAGACATGTGTTCGTCGAGCACAACATGATCCGCAGCGCTATGGCCACGTTCCTCATTCGCTTCACCCCTATGCTTTGTTTCCCGTGGAACCAGATGGGAGGGCCCGTCAATTGATTCATTTCAGTACGCCCATTTCGCGAAGTACTCGATTCAATTCTCTGGCTTATTGGCCCTAGTGCATAATGAGGGTGAATACCTCTACCGGCCATTCCGAAATGAGTGGTTTGCGATGGCCGTCATCGATTGCACTGCATTCTACCTCTCGTTGGCAAACGCAGCGTTGTTCTTCCATCAGATGACTGAACGCAAAGGCTGCGAGCACAGTGACTTTGAGGAGTCCTCGGCGTATCTCAGCTTATGTCTCAATCAGGTTACAGAGAGACTTGGTAAGGAATCCGACAATGTCAGCGACGGTGTCATCACGACGATCTTGGGATTTCTTTGCCATGATGTCGGTTCCCCCAGTGTTAAATCCAGAGTTCGGGTGATAACTATTGCACTAGTCCAGTGTTGGCAGATGGGATCGATTCGATGTTCACATGAAGGGCCTGAAAGAAATTCTCCGACTTCGTGGGGGCTTCCAGGCCCTGAACAGAACCGTCGTCATGTTCACCTCCTGGTATGGCAGACCGGCGAAAATGAACAAATGCCTTGATTGAAAAATATTCTGACCGTCGGCAGGTTTGATATTCTGAGAGCGTCCGTTCTCGATCGCAGGCCACGCTTCCTCCTTGCTGCTGACGTGTCTGCTCCGATTGTACGACACGACGTCTTATCCCCGTCTGTGCTCGATCTCATTGGACGGATTCGTCATTCCTCCGATGAACTTGCGGAAACGGCAATCGCCCTTGAAAGGACTGCGCAGTTGGCAGTGTTTGTAAACAATAACGCCCTTAATCCTCTGTTTTGGAAAGATGGCGTGACAGCGGCGGAAAGAATCACTCCTGTCCTCCATTTTCTACTATCATTACGACGTCCAACAGATTCAGATTCATACAGCGGCAATTCCACGGAGCCGATGCTATGTGAGGTAGTCAGATTGGCCTTGTTGATCTTGGTGGCCAGTGTGAGGCAAGCTTTCTCACTCATAGCAGATGAGCTCACAATCTTGCAGCAGCGATTCTCGGCTCTTCTTTCCACGGCACCTTATAGTGACGCTCACTTTCCGGAACTCAGCCTATGGGCCATCATTACGGTCGCCTGTGTCCGGTCGAATGAGTCGAATCAACCACATGCTAGCGCTGTTGTCAAACTGATGAGAGGCATGGGGATCAGCAGTGGCAGAACTGCCGTTGATATTGCGAAAGGTTTGATCTGGATTGATGAATGCATGCAGACGAATGTCGCAGGATTTATCCTCGAAATTGACCGCGCTTCTTGCTCGTTTGAGACAGGCTATAGAGACTAGGTCTCTTGAAGCGATACAAATCAACTCAAAGGAATTGGCTCAGCTCTTGAACTTGCTGAAGCTTGCAAAAGCGTCTTGTCTCATCCTCCTGTGATTCCACCACTCGCTGAGATAAATTGTCCCGTAATCCATCGACTCTTTTCTGAGGCAAGGAGCAACACCACATCGGCAATATCGTCAACAGTTCCCATTCTCTCTTCGGCCCTCGTCAGCGGCAAGAGGGAATTGTGCACAGCGTCGGCCACCGGGCCCTTGGGCAGACCGTCTACAGTGTCCCAAAAGTTAGCGTCTCATTAGGGAACAATCCGAGAACGAACTCTCGATCGAGCAAATTCCAAAAAGATCGGGCGATCTTTTGCAGGAAACCACTCACCTGTCGGGACGGGTCCTGGCGCTATTGTGTTGATTGTGACTCCATATCCGCGTCCAAGCTGCAATGATACCTGTCAATTGCTGTCGCAAATGCTCGAGATAGGGAGAGCAGTGTGGGGAAAGGACCGTTAGCCACAAGTTGATGATAACCCTACATACCTCCATGGCCATTGCATACGACAGCGTATCCAAAGCGGCTTTGGATGCACTATACAACGGAAGGGGTGCCATGCCCATTTTCGACGCAATTGAGCCGATGTTGATGATGCGTCCGCCTCGCGGCATCACATAAATCACAGCTTGCGTCATATACAGCGAAGCGAAGACGTTGATTGCAAAGGTCTTTTCCACTTCGTCTTTTGTGGCTTGCATCACCGGGACGATGGGACCTCCACCCGCATTGTTCACTACGACCCGTGATCAGTCCCATGTCAGCTCTCAACGATGCGCGCCGCAAGAAACGAGAAGAAAGGATTCACCTGGAAATATCACGCACCTAGGATATCGACCTTGTCCACCTGAAAGGCCTTGAGCGTAGCTTCCACAAGTTTCTTCGCGCCCTCTGGAGTCGTTACATCCGCCTGCACAACAGTGGCTCTGCCTCCGGCCTGATCAATCTTCTTAGCTACCTCCGCAGCACGGGGCGCAGTCGATTCGGAGACATAGTTGATGGCTACCCAGGCTCCGTTGCGTGCAAGGGCAGAAGCAATGCCTGCACCAATACCGTTTTCTTTGCCTGACCCAGTAATGATGGCGACCTTGCCATCTAGAGAAAGAGCGTCGGGCGCCATGGTCGGGAGATGCGAGCCAATATGGAAAGAGTGGTCTGGACAATGAAGAGTGAAGTTTCCCTTTTTTTCCTCAGGATCCTAAATTTGAGAGAAGTGTCTGGGGAAAACATGGCTTCCACTGGATGCGAAAGTCCATTTTATACTCGACGTCTCCTAAAAGTCGGCTTGATCCATTTCACCGACACTCTCTGTTCGTCTGAAGCGGAAGAACCGCCTTTTGCCCACCTTAGACGAACGATTCGAGTATGAGGTCTGCCGTCGGTGAGACAAGACATATTGCTGTCCGTTTGCTGCTACAGTAATATCGAAGGCTGTGGGGACTCCCAGATAATTAACGGCGGCAAGCCTAGACCGGAAACGGAATGAAGAAATCCCTGCCCTGCATGAAGGGGCTCCAAAGAGGCTCCTTTCTTCTGCACTTCCATTGGTCAACCCACCCTTGGGAGTGTTTAGGATACCTTCAACGACACCTAGGTATTCAAGCAAACATCTAGGTACCTGCCGTCCGCTCCCTCGGTGGAGAAGATGTACGAGTCTCGATTTCGTCTTGAACAGACAGCCGGTCCGTCTCAACGTTGATTCCGAACAAGGAGCCAGGAAGATTGATATTTCTCGGCAAACAAGAGGTTGACCCGGGTCTATCTGGCAGACACATTCCGAGTGAGGCTCAGGAAATCGGACGGAACAGAAGAGATATCTACCTCGGTAAGTTTGCGTGCACAGGCTGCGGTACTGAGAATCGACGGATAGGTCCTCTATGCAGTGGTTCGATAACAATATGTGCCTCTGAGTGTTTGACGCCACATCGCAATTAAACATAGATTATTTTCAAAGATCATTTGTGGGTCGCCCAACACCCAGCTGTGCAGATCCCAGAGGTGTCTTTTGCACCGACAGCTACACACCTAAGCCAACAATGTCAGAACAATCATAGACCAGATACGTGGGAGAGAGAATTGCAGTACTGGAGTACGAGGTAGTACACAGGTGGTCCAGTAAGCATGAGCGGGTGGCTCAGTCAGCAAACGAGGATTTGAAGAGGGAGTCGAGCCAATGTTCCAATCAAGCAAAAAGTGACTGGCGGGTGAAGCGACTCTGGAAGCCAATTTGATGGCATTTGACAGGGGAGACAAGCCACAGTCTTGGCCTCGCCAGCCTTTCTGAAGCCGGCAACTGGGAAGCGAAACAGCCTAAAACTTTCCCGCGTCGTCATCAACAACATCATTTTCATTTAAACCTCGACACATGCCCGCGCTCGCCACCGAAGGCAGACGGCCAACTTTCAATTTCATGTTCGTGTCCATGCCCATCGTCGCCTACAGGCAATGGAAACGTGCATGAGCGCGAATACCATCCGCCAACAATATCCAATCTCCGTCCGGGAATTCGTTGCGACGGCCAACTCACCACCATGCCCCCTAGAAACCGGCATTTCCATACGCGAGAGCCATTCCAACATGACCACAGACTGATCTTGGAACGCGCCGAGGGCCCCTTCAGTTTCCTCAATCCTACCAGAGCCCATTTCAACCACTCCGGATCAGTCTCAAAGGTAACGTCTGACGATACTGCGGCTTCGCATGAAAGCGTCGACAACGCTGCCGACCATGAAATCCCCAAGCGGTATTCCGAGTCCAACGTCCCCGCCAAAAACGTGCGGTTTCTGTGGCGGTCGCGAGACAATCGAAAAGGCCGACATCCCTTACTCGTCCAAAGACCCAAGCCTGGGGAAGAGGCTTATTTTGTGACACCCAGGCGAACATCAGACCCGAGAGAGGTTTTGAAAACAGTCGTCAAAACCTTTACGTCCTTTCCCATCTGGGATATCTCCTGGCTCGTTGCTTTTATATTCACATGGGGGAGTGTTGTCTGGGTTTTGAATGTATGCCCTGTCTTTGACACCCCCAAGATAGCCAGGTAACGAATTCGACTAACCACTGGTGGTGGACTTATCGACTTACAGGGTTTCTTCGTCTGGCTCCCAGTTGTAGCCCCCTCGACCGAATTTGACGGCGAAATATACTACGGAGGAGGCGTCACAGCATTCATCGGCGCCATCCTCTTCTTCGAAACTGGCTCTATCCTCCTAATCTTTGAAGCAATTAATGCCAACAACACCGGCTGTTTCGGCTGGGCCGTTGAGCAACTGTTCGATGACGACGATCAAAAAAGGGGTGTAGCACGACTCAGAGTCGTTGCCAACCGCCACCATTGTCACCATCACCATCAGAATAGGCGAAATTTCGTCGGCAGACCTTCGATTTCAACCGTCCCCGAGGCCCAACCTCCTTCGAAGGGAGGCAAATTGGCCAAAAGGGCCTGGCAATGGTTCCCTTCGTGGCACGATCTGCGTACGCATTACCTTCATGAATTTGGTTTCCTTGCCGGCTCGGCCCAACTCTTTGGCGCGACCGTCTTCGGCATCTCTGGAATCACTGCCTTACCCGGCATCATCGATCATTTGACACCTCAGTGGCGGCTCAATGCCGCATACTGGATCCCTCAGGTGATTGGTGGAAGTGGCTTCATTGTTAGCAGTACCTTATACATGCTTGAGACGCAGCAGAAATGGTACAAACCGGCGCCGCATCTCTTGGGTTGGCATATTGCGTTTTGGAACCTTGTGGGGGCGTTTGGTTTCACGCTCTGTGGCTGTCTAGGTATGGCGTACAAAAATTCTGGAGCACAGTACCAAGCTGGATTGGCTACATTTTGGTACGTTCTGTTGATCCCACGAGACCTGCTTCCAAATGCTTAGTGAGAGAAATATTTACAAACGAGCCCGATTCGAGGACTTTATACTGATTTGACCTAACTGTCTATAGGGGCTCCTGGGCTTTCTTAATCGGCAGCTACCTCCAGCTGTTCGAAAGTCTCAACAAAAATCCCGTGGAAGAAGTGTCAACCGACCAGGACTTTGCAGCGAGGCAGTCCTAATTACCTTTTTTAAGGATTTACATGTTGTTCTGGCACACAGCCCCCCGAAAAAAGAGAAATGGTAGTGTTTGGGAACTGTTCGACTCATCATATACGGCGTTTGTGATCGTAATTCGACAAAAGCGAGAGAAAAGGGAAGTGGTGATAACCTTGGTCGGCACAGATAACGAGAAGGAAATGAGGTTGTCCTACGCGGATCCGAAGAACCATACTAGTCCACACCGGTTAGGCATCAGAACTGCCTGATGCCTCGCCGAAGCCCTGCGGAAAGATTTGGATGCGCGTTAATGTGCCTATCCGCAGGTGCATGCAGAAGACCGATCAGCCAGTCTGCACGCGGTCGCACAAGGAGCGCCTCTACGCAAGGGGACGGTTACATTTGTTTTAGGACAATCGAGGCCGTGCGGACAGTGGCGAACGACAGGAGTGGACAGCGTCCACACAGGCTTCAGTGAAGGCTTAAAACAAGCATAACACTCTCCCGTCTGCCATCGGACAAATAACGCGTGGGAGATTCTCGTGCAATACGTCGGCCTAGCAGAAGCATATAGATGAAGCATGTCTGCGCTAGGGGATCGTTCTGTCACGGACGACGAACACCTATATCGTTATGATCTATTTGATCCACCCTCAATTCGTCTCTTGGAGATTGAATCTGAGAGAAACGCCGATGCTGACGACAACACTTCGTTTCAATCTTCGGCGTTCACCCCCTCAGCAGCCTTCCAGAGTAGACAGCAGTATCCTATACATGGGATCGAGCGACGAGACGGAACGGGTCGACCTAATAGATGGACGTGAATTCCAAATTCGACCTAGCCTCAATGAGTGCTTGACGACTTTGATTGACCCTGGCGCTACATCTGGGTTGATGCTATCTACATCTATCCTGATCGATCCAGAAATAAATGCTACAGAAACGCTTGAGGCTGAAAACTGCGGATTTGTAAGGGGGTTGATTTTCGCGTATTGTCTAAGCACGCACCGAGTTACCTCGTACAGCACATGGGGCCAAATGCTGCCTACCAGCCTGATCAAGCGCCTCATCAGCCCTTGCGCCTCCTGCCTCACCGTTGGACACCGAACTGAGAAAATCTTCTGAACATTGCAAACCCCTGCTCGTGCGCTGTTGCCTAAAATTCCTCATCCGGCCGCACCACAATGCATCTTGGCCTAAACCCGGAAAGAGACGCTTGAGGGTTTCCAATATGCTGTATACCATGCTATAGGCTAATGTCCATGTCTACTTAGCGTTACTAGGCAGTCACGTAATAACATAGGCATCTTCGTACGTGCCTTGGCTGCGCCCCTCTCAACAGTAGTGAAATCAAGCACAACCCTCGCAACTTTGTTCCAAGTCCATTGGGAAAAACACGGCCAAATCCAATGCGAGACAACCGGCCATAAGACCCCGTCGGTAGCGTTTCTGCTGCTGACCCAAGTGGAATTTGCATTACTGCCACGTCGCCGAGCGAGAAATTGGCGAAGCCAGCCGCATCTCGACCCGAGATCCGTCGACGACGTTGAGTGCGTGCCATCTCCAGCAATTATGGAACACTTCTTTGACGAAGAAGACCTCCAAGCTACGGGGCTTAATCTTCCTAGGACAACGTGGCTTGGATTCGATCATGACACAACGCAATTCTATGATGTCGTCGACTTCGAAACATACCCATTTCTACGTGGATGGACCCGGGCTGAACTTCTCGACCTTATAGTTGGGCGTTTGTCCCGAAGTGCCTCATACACCTCATCTATGCTACAATCTTGGTTTACTCTTGGGTTCCTTGAAGCAACTTTTAGGCAGCGATTCGGCACTTGCGATTTCGTGTCGGGTGATCAAGTTTTTTGTACGCGCTTCCTTCGGCAGTTCACCAAAGAAAAGATTGAAGAAGTCTACGATATGCCCGATGCGGAGGTTGTGCAGTTCCTAGAGGCCCTTGATGAGGCGCAGAAGGTGGCCTACCAATGGACCGTGAAGCGCGAGTTGATGGGTAACAAGACGTCCAAAGATTTGAAAGAGGAGCACATTGCTCCTACAATGCGATATGCACCCTGATTGGTGAAGCTATTCGGCACTTCCAGAAAGTTTCGTCTAATATGATATGCCTTTCGTGGCCGAAAAGAGAAGGGCCGAGTTGGTGCTACTCGGACTTGAATAGGAACCTGCTCATCCGACAGCTTGTCAAGAAAGGCTGGTGCCCTTCCACATTCAGATTGCTATAGACTTCCCACTCAGCCATCGACCTAGCCGCTCTTCTTGAAGCCAAGGACCTCAAGTCAGGTCGTCATCAGGGATGTACCAAAAATTCTTGCATCGCGTACCAACTGCTAGAAGAGACATACCAGACGTCTCATATCGACTCATCGTGTGCTTGTAGTTTCATCGCAGCACCACCTCACCGCCTAGCAGCCATCCTTCGACAAGGTGAGGTGCCGGTCTTGAACTTGGACGCCCTTTTGGATGATTCAAATGAAGAGACTGTTACTTCACTCAAAGGAAAAGCCAATTTGATTACATTCTCCCATGTCTGGTCGGACGGCCTCGGCAGCCGTGCTGAGCGAGGCATTCCTAAATGCCAAATCAAGCGGCTTCGCGACTTGGTTGCCACCGCAAACGCTGGTGACGCGGCTCAACCAAGCCTCGCTTGGATTTATTCCATGTGTATCCCCCGAGAAGAACCCCTCCGGCATGCGGCAATCCAATCGATAGCTTCTGTTTTCCCATGGCGTGGAAGACTATCGTTCTGGACTCGAGCCTCCAAAATTTTGATCCCGACCACCGGCCAGCCCAGGAGCTGGCTGTCCGCATACTATGTTCGACTTGGATGAGACGTCTTTGGACGCTCCTAGAAGGGACCCTATCGGATAGGATTCTCTTTGTGCTCGATGACGATTTCATTATGCCGGCCTGTCAGCTCGTCGATCTAGCATCATCGAACCCTCACCGCCAGATAACATGGCAATTTGCCGAGACTTTGGTTCAAATGTGTGTTTCCGAGCGGCATAAATCAATGGATTTGGCAGCTGTATTGCACTTAGTGCTCTTTCGCTCGACTAGCAAGGCCGATGGTGAGACCTTAGCCCTAGCCCCAATCATGGGATTGGACGTTGCGACTCTTTTGGAGAAACAGGGGGAAGAAAGGATGAAAACCTTCTGGCTTCTTCAACGTCTGGTGCCTCTCGCGACGATATTCATACCCGGTCCGAGGCTCTGCATTCCAGGTTTCCGATGGGCTGCGAGATCCTTCATTAGGAATAGTACGACTGTGCAAATCTGGGGAGACGCTGTTGCTGTTGAGTCTGAACGTGGCCTGGTGGGGGAATCTTGGGTCGTTCTATTTGACAGTCCCCTTCAGATTAATTCCCGGCGGATATACCACATTCTTTTCAGCTACAGTGCGCGAGACGCAGCTGGACGAGATCAACCCACAACCAACTTTGACACAACTCGGCTTCAAGAGTCTTCATTAAAACACCAGTCTGATTTTAAAATGACGTTGATGGCGACGTCACGGGGGCCGCCCCCATTAGATGCTCCATGTGTAGGGCTGGTTTTGCCCAATAGGTTCTACCCGCGGGCGATGGTAGTTTTCTTGGCGGACGAAGAAAGTTGTTCGACGCAAGACTCCAGTGAGAGGTTTTCAAGGACTTTTCAATTTGCTGGTGCAGGCTTCATGGTGCAAGGGGAGGAGCCAGAACCAGTCTCTACGTCCGGTAAAATATTGGGTATGAAGATCCGTTTAACGTAGTCCCCATACCTGCGGGCTTAGCTAAAATGAAAATGAAGAGGATCAGAGTGCTGGGTAGACAGAGGTGAGAAAGACAGGGCAGGTCGAACAACTGGTCGACCCGTGTAGTTTCTGCTTCTGGCGCTGGGGGAAATGGTCGGGTCCAAGTGGCTTTGAGAATCTCTACGTGCTTCTCCTTTCTGCCACCGGCTCAGAATGTGCAGCTAAATGTGGCAAGGTCTTCGCGCTGCTGGGCTTAGTGGACGAAAAGGAGGGCAGTATGCCTTTGGGATTGTTGCCAAACTATGCGATGCCGGAGGAAGAAGTAGCCATTGTGGTACTAACACCCATCAACTGCACTACAAAGGCTTGGGGAGACTGGAAAAACTCACTCGGAAATTTCTACGATGATAAAGGGTTGACCGCCATACTAAAATGTGGTCGACGTCCTCCATACAAGGTACCCGGATCTGCTCGTAAGTCCGCGGGAACTGCTCGAAGCATTGGAGCACGGTACCGAGACACATTTGTTGAGAAACCGGCCAAATCTAGACTTCGAAAGAAATACAGGAGCCAGTGCAGAAGGCCTCAAGAAGGCGGGAGAAGACGCCCAAGAAAGCGGAAGCCAACCCCAGAGGCACAATCCACAATGCAACACAGGGCACGCATCTCGAGTTGGTGCTTCCCACAGCGACGACTTGGGCAGATCGGTCCGGGCATCCTGTGGCATACTGGAAACAACTAGTGTACAGCGGAGGGTGTCGACGATACATTGCATAGAATGGCTTCTAGGAGTAGACTGGGTTCACGACTCTTGAAGCCGCGTCTTACCTCGTTACTACTTTCTCCCAGGTACAGTATGTCGTCTGGGCTGACCTCGTACGTCCTTCGGCGCCAGCTCTCTCGGTTGCGGCCTCGGCGGCTGATGATCATTAGCGTTGCGAGATGCCTCGGCAAGTGTGCAGATCGGCGGCCTCAGTCTCACTCACTCAACTCGTACACTGATTCTCTTTCTCCAAATCAACTAGTTCTGTAGAGAGTTTCTTTCTTGAGTTTCTTCACCTCTCCCCCAAAACTTGACTGATTGATCGACCTTGAAAGCTTTTGTTCTTCTCTTTCTGTTATTTGAGTCCTGATTTCTAGCCATGGCGCAGAGAGCTCAGCAGATCGCCTCGCATCTCAATTACCCCTCAGGCTTGCTGGCCGGCCAGGTCGCTATTGTGAGTTTTGCCCTGCGCCCGTCCTTCTCAGTCGGAACAGAACAGCCGCACAAATACAGACGCCTTTGTGTCAAAGGGTCTTAGACTCTCAATCCTCCCCAGAGCGCTCTATCATCCCAGTTTTTGCCCCTGCTGCTCCTCCCCTCCTTCCCCACGATCCATGTGGCCTCCCTATGCTGACAACGAACGCCAAGATCACAGGTAGCGGGCAGGGTATCGGGGCCGAGTGCGCACGGCTGTTCGCCAACGAGGGCGCCAAGGTGGTCGTGTGCGACGTCGACGCCGCCAAGGGCGAGGCCGTGGCCAAGTCCATCAACGACGCCAGCCCGGGCAACAAACGCGCCATCTCCGTTCCCGGCGATGTCACCGACCCCAACTACTTCCCCGTGCTGGTCTCCAAGGCGGCCGAGTTCGGCAACGGCAAAATCCACATCATCGTCAACAACGCCGGCTACACGTGGGACGGCGTGATCCACAAGATCACAGACAAGCAGTGGGACACCATCATCAATGTGCACAACACCGCCCCCTTCCGCCTGGTCAGGCAGTGTGCGCCGTACTTCAGGGTCAAAGATGGCGAGAAGAGAGTCATCATCAACATTTCGAGCACGTCTGGCACCCACGGCAACGCTGGGCAGGCGAATTACAGTCTGGCGAAGGCAGGCGTCACGGGCTTGACCAAGACGATCGCAAAGGAGTGGGGACCACAGGTATGTTTTTGTTTGTTCGGGCATCTTCTTTGCTTTGTTGGCTCTTCCATATCTACTTTTTGTATATGTGCCGGCCGCGGCGCCAGGAATCTTCAATCGTGATACCCGACACTGACCACCGAACCTTACCTACGACAGTTCGGCGTGCGCGCCAACACCATTGCCTTCGGCCACATCGACACCCGCCTGACTCGGGCCAAGGAGATCGGAGCCTTCATCACCACCGCCGACGGCCAGCGCGTCGCGCTGGGCATTCCTGGAAAGCAAATCGCCGACCGCAAGGGCGACGACCCGAACGCGGCGTACAGGGACATCCCGCTGGGACGACCCGGCACGGCCACCGAGGCCGCGAGCTCCATCTTGGCAGTATGTTCGCCCCTTTTCAGTTATGTAAACGGACAGACTATCGAAGTCACCGGCGGACGGAACATGTAAAGACCCAGAGGGAGGCTAGTGCGGTTCATTGCGTTGCGTGGGTGGTGCAGATCGTAGCAGTGGAGCGAAAGAAGGGGGCAAGTAGCGACATGGGCAAGATATCTCGCCCAGGAAAATCCCAACGAGAATGTCTCGAGAGAGGAGATATTGATAACTCGCATAATGCATCATGTCATGCGAATGGATGAAGACAGAGGAGAGCAGAAAAATAGAGCCAAAAAACCTGATCCTACCAAAGCGGTCGCCATCAGCCGGCACAGGTGCCGGGAATGTCACCATTGGAGGCAGCTCGGGGGGGGGGCGGAGTCGAAAGCAGTCCGATAGACATTGAACCTTTTTTAAACAGACAGTTGATGGTTGAATGCCTGCGCAGGAGCCCGGCTCCGATCGCCTATTAGCCTGTGGGCATAGTCGACTGGGTAAGCTGCCAGTTCCTCCATTAGGACCGACTATATATGTATGTAGCAGCGACGCCAGCAGCCAGCAAAGCAAGCTCGCAGTTCCGTCTGCGGCAGGTTCGTGAAATGCGGAAATAGATCCGCAGAGTTGGTGGGCAGCTTACATATGTTAATGGTGATTGCCAGGACTCGACAGGCGACCAGGCCCGCCAATTGAGGCACCACAGAAGGATTGCCGACAGTTTCGCCGTTTTGGTATCGGTTCGCTTGTTCTCGGCAGAGTCCCAACGTCCTATTTGAGCTTATTCTCTTTCGCCGGTGCCGCCACGCTTTCACAGGCGAGGTTTCTTCGATGTCTAGTTTTCTGGCATTTCGATCTTTAATTGGTCCTTATTGGTATCACCTTGCATTTTGAACACCTTGGTTGAGCCTTGCTGGGGGCCAGCAACCCGTTTTATGGCAATGGAGAAAACCCCTATCGAGGTCCGCCCTTCAGAGGACCTTGACGTCGAAGCCAGTACACGGGCCATCGATTTCCCTAAGGTCGAACCGACAGCATCAATCGGGGCATCACTAGCTCCAACCGAATCCGATCCCTATGGCAGTCGTCCGGCGTGTTTCAGCAGTCTCTTTCAGGAATGTCTCTTTGTTCTTACCACGACCGTCGCTGTAGGGCAGAGTTCGATCTTCACCGGAGCTATTCTGTGCATGACCGACCACATCGGCAAAGACCTGGACATGACGGCAGCCGAAGTGACCTGGATCAGTGCTGCCCAGACCCTCGCGGCAGGAACCTTCTTGCTCTTTTTTGGCCGGGTTGCCGACTTGTTCGGGAGGAGACTGCTCTTCCTCTGCAGTCTGGCCTTTTTCAGTATCTGTCTGCTCATCACCGGATTTGCCACCAATGCATACTTTTTGGATGTGTTCTGTGGTCTCCTCGGTCTCAGCTCGGCGGCTTCTGTTCCTCCGGCCATTGGCAAGCTGGGGGCGGTCTATGACAGACCGAGCCGACGAAAGAACAGAGCCTTTGCCTGCTTTTCTGGGGGCAACCCGGTGGGTTTCGTGCTTGGGGCGTTTATCAGTGGCGTGACGATGCAAATTTCCTCCTGGAGAGCAGCTTTCTGGGTCATGGCGCTCATTTATGCTTTCTTCTTTTTCGCAGCACTGTGGACGACCCCGCCGGACAACGAACAGAAGCTCGGGGGACTCAACATGGAGACTTTTGTTAAGTTCGACCTTCTCGGGGCGCTTCTCGCTGTGGGTGGAATAGCCATGTTCACTGCCTCCCTGACTTTGGCCGGCGACGCACCAGACGGATGGGGGACGTCATATGTAATT